AAGTGTACTTTTAATGGTAGAAAAGTATCCAAATCTAATTTGAGAGGAATTATTGCAGAAAGATTGTGATCATTGCCCACATTTTTAGTTTTGCGAACTTACCCCCATGTAGGCAGTAAAATCTTCAGAATTCCCAGGAGGGTGAAGGACATGTAAATGCATATTAGCACATATGTTTAACAGGGATGTAGTAAAGAGAAAGGCTGGTCTCGACAAACAAGGCTATGAGCAACGGATCAGACTGAAACAAAACATCTTCCACTCAGAAACTAGGTGATTTGGGGAGGATGTGGATAAGCCTGCGTACAGCTTTACTGCTGTATAGCAGTAGCAATATGATTATAAAATAATCAGTGAGCTAACACTTTATCTTGGTAGTTGATGTGATTGTTTTGGGCAAATCCACGCAAGATGTATCAGTTTTCTTTCTAATATGCTCACTATTTTAAATTGACTTAAGAGAAAAAGTGAAACCTAATCTTACACTCTTTATTCAACACTTAGTCACACAAATACATGTCGAGGTTTGTAGAGCTGCTGACCACTTGACATCCCAGTGAGATGAATGGGAGGCGCACTGAACTGAGCGCTTGAGAAAACCTGATCACTTAACAAAACGCTCGTAATTCCTGCGGATAAAAACTTGGCCATGGTGCCTCACTGAGTAGAGGAAAATGTATTTTAGTTCAGAGAGATGTTCCCTTGCCTGCAGTCAGTGAATTTTATAGCTAAGATAACATTTAACTGCAGTTTGCTACAAAAAAAAAAAAAAAAAAAACAGTAAATACCACATACTTGCAGATAATCAGATCACTGGGCTGGCAGAACGTTTGTAACCCTGTAATTTTGTTTCTTACTGTGGAATTCTCCATAAGTTATCCTGCTAACACATAGTTTATTGCATCTAAAGGATTAATTAGGGAAAGGAGCATTCTGGAAGTTCAAAATCGAATAGTTTGTAGTCTTTTCTTCTGATAATTGTTTTTGGTTTATTTATCTTCCTTCTAGTATGTCAGGTTCATTTTTAAAGGGACCATATGGAATAAAGAATAAGAGTTAAAATGGAGCACCCTCTTTGGAGGCATATTAGCTAGTTGTCTATGGAGTCCAGATCCTAGGCTGTCATAGGGCTCGTAATAAATTTTTCTTCGGTAAAAGGGAACACAGTTCCCTCTGATCCTGGAAACGTGCAGTAGCTGATAGGTGAAGGGATGTTTTATAACCCCTTCCTCTTACTGGATAGAAGCTAGTAGTGGATGGAAAGAGGTTTATTGCATTCGTTTCAAGATTCAACATTTTATTTTGCTGTTGAAGATTTAAGTGCGGCATCCTCTGCTTCTGTCAGTGTTGTTCCCGCCCAAGCACTATTCTTGGGGAGACTTTGGAGCTTCAAGCTATTCGTTTTCTGCACATTTCTACTTCTAATACCTGTCATTTCATATGGTCTCAGGTAGACCAAATATTATGTCTTCCAAAAGAAGATTTTAGAAGCTCTTTGTTTGCTGTTTAGGCTGTTTTCTTTTCTACTCATAGAGTTACCATTCCCAGTCTGAATAGATGCTAGGGACATTTCAGGATTCAGGATGTACTTGGTTCATTGTTTGCTTGCTCTCTTTCCTAGATCTGTGCATTTTTTTCCTGTATTCTGGGTTAGGTCACCGCTTTCAAATGGTTCCAATAGCTCAGTAGATAGACCAGTTGTTAAAACTTGATCTTACAATAACAAGCAGAAATGGAGGATTTAGAAGGCTCTGTGCACAGAAACAGCTTCTTAAAGGTTTAAGCCATTTTTTTAAAACTGTGTGATTTTCCATTTCCTAATGTGTTTCTCCCAGAGCAGCAGCTAAGAGCCACTTGTAAATACAACGAATGATTGTGATATATTCAACTGATCATTTCTTTTAATTTTTTTTCCAATGATGCATTTAATTAGGTTGGGGGATTACATTTTTCCCCCTTCTTTTCTTCTGCTTCGCACCTTCTGGTTGCAGTAGGCTGTTGATCTTTTTTTTTCACAGCAGAAACCTTTGATACCAACTAGTATGTTGTGTAGCTGGTGGGACATGCCACAGGCTTACTGGTAAGCAGCAAGGTGTCTTCTCTTCAGACCTTTCCTCCTGCAAGGGGGCAGCTGCTGAGATAAACCTTTTTGCCTGTTGGGCTCACATCTGTTACCTTGATTCCTAAACCAATTATAGGCTCTTTCTATCCCCACCATGAGTCTCTGGAATCAAATTGTTCAGCTCTTCATGACAATAAATCCTCCAGCCCTACCTAGCCTCTAATGCTTTTCAATCCTGGCTAGAGACAAGTGACAGAGTAATAATTTATTCATATGTCAGAAAATAATTTGAAAAATGTCAAGAAGAAAAGAAAAATGGGGTAGAAAATAATTATTTTTCTGAGACTTTAAGGTGGGATTTTGGTTGCTTTTTAACTTGTAATGTCCTGAACGTGAAAGAAGTTTGGAGGCAAGCTGTAAGAGCTGGATAGGAAAAAAAAGACACTTTAAAATAGTGAAGGAAAGCAGAAAATACTGTCAAGCACTTTTAATTGTCATTATCATATCCTTTTAATTATCCTATCATATCCTAGTAAAATTGAGAAGAACATACTCAGCACTGCAAAACAGGGCATTTCTTATAGAAGAACATTTGGAATCAATCTTGAAAGACTTCTGAAATCTCAGCCTATTACTTTTTTTCTTTGACATCTTCGAAGGGGAAGAAAACAGATCTGTGAAGATGGACAGTCTTCTATCACATTTCCTGCAGCTTTAACTAAAACATATTTGGATGAACAATCTTGAAACATCACATAATCCTATGATGACAGCATACAGTGCAGCCATTTAGATTTTCTCCATGAAACCACGTCATATATCAGGATTCTTGATGCAAAGATACTGTTATTTTTTCTCCTTAATCAAGCTTAAATACCGTTGGTATGTCTCATGAACATGCAGGCTCCTTTAGAAGCATTGCTCTGTGGAAAATTCTCCTTCTGTGATTGTGATGTTAGTTACATTATTTTAAGGGTGATAGGAGTGGCAATTTTGCTGACTAGTTGAGTTTGGAGAGGAAGGAAGGAGCTATACAGAATTAGTACTATACTTACTGTTATTTTTTCTCCTTAATCAAGCAAGCAGCAAGTAAAATAGTTTCCTTTTACGAATAGGAGGGGTTGGACAAAGATCTATCTAAAGCTGTGTTGTGACTTTACTTGCTTGAAAAGAATCCTTATAAAGAAATCCCAGGTTTAGCTTACACAAGTAAACTAAATAGATAATGTAATGTCCGTTAATTATCTTTCTGTAACATCTGAAAATGCACCTGGACAAATTCCGTGTAAAATATCCAAGACACATACATAAAAGTGAAATACTTACTGTAAGTTTCCAGATGGTGGATAGTGATTAGTGTCTGTCATACTTTAGAACAAAATTTCTCAAAAATGTCATCTGTTTTGTGCTTTACATTTAACAAATGGTCTCCAGTTTTGAAATCGCACATGGAATCTACTGAGAGACCTCCTTGACATTTCTTGTGTTCTTACAGTTACAGTTATGTGTTGTTTTAAAATGCCTTTTCTCCTGGTACTAACGCAAGTAAACGAAAAGTTTACTGACTTTAGGGAGACCACTGAAATTAACTCATCCATAAGTGAAAGTAATGCAATTGCCAAGAATCAAAGTACATGTAGAAAACACAGGTAGAACTTTTAAACGATCTCTGCCTTTTTTCTTAAACATGAGTTCTAAGAAAGTTACTCCATAATTAGAATGTTTTTGGCCTGGCAAGTTGGGTTTGACTGGCTGGTGACGCAAATATTTATTACATTGCTCGCAAGGAGTCTAACTTTCAGAGTGCAAGTTTTATTTTCAAAAGCAAGTTTTATTTTTCAATTTTTATATTTGAAACGAAAATGAAACTTATATTTTCAAGAGCTCAAAGGGTTCATCAATTGGACACTGCCCTAGTTTGTCACTTTAAGGCTTTTAATGATTTGAGAGTGTTGGGTTCTTCACTGGAGGAGAATTTAGGAGAATACATTTATTCGTTTGTCCTCCAATTAGTTCATTCATGACATTCTTCTAGGAAAGCAAGTAATTACTTACTACAGTGCAGCAGTTCAGTGATGGATTCACTGTGGATGTTGAGTTTATAGTAATTAATATTTTACATTTGTTCATTCTTTTTGGCTCAGCGATTGTAAACCAGTGGCTTTGGGGTGGCACACTGAACGTCGTGGAATATGTGATGACAGGCAAGTGGGGTTAGAATAGACAGGACCAGCGTATATGAGCATGATTTGATTATTCACAACATTTTACACTTCTGTCATTAAAATTTCTTGTGCTGCTGTGGGATCTATTCCCAAATTTAGCATAATGCTAGAGGAGACCATGTATTTTTGGCTACAAGAAGCCACAGCTTGTTCAGCGTCATTCTTAGGTAGTTTTGCAGGGGACATTGTTGTCATGTCATGCCAGGGTACTTTACCACTTTCCTTGCTTTTTTGCAGTGTGATATAGTGCAGCAAAAAAACACATAACTTCTGTTTCACTTCAGGAAGAACAGTTTAGGAGTTGGGGTAATTTGATGGATAGTATATACTAAGAAAAATATTAGAAACCAGGAAAGGCCACGTAAACCATTGAGGTTCATTTCATTCCAAATATACCTTGCCTAGGTTATCATCCAATTGTTACAAGAAAGAGTAATGTTATCCGTTTTTTATAATTTGCCTTCTGGGTATTAGGGAGATAAATGCCTAAATGTTAAAGAGAACTAACTTTCCTTCAGAGTGCTGTTTCAGGGAGAAGATACTCAAATGCAGATAGGTGGGATGACAAGAAAAAAAAATGGCCCTGAATGAAAAATATGGTGATAATGATATGAATATGTGTGTACAGACACAGTTTCTCAGAGTTCCCTAGAGACAAGCTTCCAATCCTGAGGCTTTCAGAAAGTAACCTTTCCTTTGATTTATTGTTTTAGGACCAATGCAGGAGACAATATATGACTTCTGGAGGATGGTATGGCATGAAAACACAGCCAGCATCATCATGGTTACTAATCTTGTGGAAGTGGGAAGGGTAAGTGATTTTTGTTCCTAAAGAGATGAAAGGCTTCCAAGGTGTTTACTTTTGGAAATTAAATAGCAGACCAACAATATATACTGAGTATAGCACATAAAATATTTATGACTGCCTCTGCTAAGAGGATCATTATCAATTATTTTTAAACATGCCTTGAATTCCTGTCTTTGATAACATCAGCACAATGCCAAAGGCAACTGATAAAGCTGCATTATGTACAACACAGCCTGCAAAGGGAGCCAAAGAGGGAAAGTGCCATATCTTTGCATATATGTTAGTGATAGAGCTTCTCTTAAGGGAAACAAGGGAATTGTTACAGGAGTTTCTATTTTGGAATGAATCTGGATCAAATTTCTGGGGGGGGAAAAGGGGTAAACTGTGAAATTGCACTTTCTTCATGGTATGTTTCTGTAAACAACCTGTTTTACTTGGTTTTTCCTTCCTGTAACACCTCTGGCCTAAAACAGAAGGAAATTCCCCCCAAAAAACTTACCCTTTTGTGCACTGTATTTCTTGACCAGAAAGTCTTTATCACAAGATGAGTAGTAAAGAAAGCTTTAAGTATCTGGATGATACTTTACTTTGCATAGTAACTTGGGCTGTACCTTGGTAACATGGTCTTTGCTTGGTAGGGCTTCCACTCTTAGTCATTGTGGCTAATTTTGCAATCTGCAGGTGTTGAATGGAACCAGATTCTTTCTTTTTCTTTTTCTTTTTCTTTGTCTTTTTCTTTTTCTTTTTCTTTTTCTTTTTCTTTTTCTTTTTCTTTTTCTTTTTCTTTTTCTTTTTCTTTTTCGGTTTTGTTTCAACAATCAGTAACTGAGGCCTTTAATTTACTGCTTTGTCTATGCATTGGTTTTTCTCAACTGTCGTCTGGAAAGCTTTTTCAGGAAAATTCCTCTGGGCTCTGGGCATCCAACTCCCAGCTGAAATAAAAAAAATAATACTGCTTTTATTATAACCACCACAATTATTGTAAATTTAAGTGCTGGAATAAGAAAGCAAGTACATGTATCTTGGTGTGAGCCACATGATTCTGAGGTGTGTTTTTAATTATATGCTGGTGTAGTGGCTGATATCCTTTGCCCTGTGACATTTTCATCAGGAGAGAGATTGCTGTTTATGTAGTGTGTGTCAAAATATGAGATCTTCTTTCTAACGCGTTTACTTTTACAGTCTCAATTTATTCTTATACATGTCTGTGGTCAATTGTTAATATAAATCCTATCATTTATACACCCGTGGCCCAAGGAAGCCAACAGAGCAAAAGCCGGTGTTATTCTTAAATACCAAAAAGCTAGGATTTGTGACTGCAGTTAATGCTTGCTACAGGAACATATGTACGACTAACTGCGGAGACGAGGAAAGACCGTAGAGGCCACTTCCAAAACAAGGAGGGTAGAAATGGTTGGGTGGTTTTGCATCAGTCCAAAACGTATCAGTAAGAACAGGAGACTCTTCAGGAATCGTCTTCACTAAAGCCTTATACAGATCCCCCCAGCCAGCAGCCGCGGTTCGTGCCACGCTGCAGGTTTCTTCAGGGTGCCAGAGCGCCAGCGGGACACGGGCCCGGAGCGCCAGCGGGACACGGGCCCGCGGCGCCCTCGGCCCTGACAGTGGTAGAAACGACCACGTTCTCCCTCCCTCTGGAGGCCAACGCAGCTGGGATGCGAGAGGAGGAGTTAAAACGAGCTCTGAAGGGCAGTGAGCCGGCATGAGGCGCGGAGCAGCGGGGCGGCCGCGGCCCCGTCCGTGCTCCCGTCGCGTCCCGCTCGCGGGGCTGGAGCGGCAGCCAGGAGGATGCGGATGCTAACGCACCATCTGGCCCGCGCTCTGTGCCACCTGCATTAGCAGGGATTTTATTGGCCTTTCGGTAGCGCTCTGCAGGGCAAACCTTGCAACCTTCCTGACCTTCGGTGTTCCTATTTCTGCTGCTATTGCTAGTATAACATATGAATTTTTTTTTTAAATTTTGTTTTAACCCTCTTGCCCACTGTAGGTTTTCTTGTAGCCAGGAAAATTCCTTTACATTTTTAGAAAAGAGGAATATCTATTTAACATGTTTGCCGCACAACGCGTGTCCTTCATGAATTAATCATTGAGGGGGCGGATGTGTATTTGTTTACCAGGCCTGGCCGGCGAGTCATTAAATCCGTGCTAGGAGCTCGCTTCTTGCCCTGGAGCATTATGCATGAGGGCTGCTTTAATTGCGGACGGAGGCAGCGCCACGAGGCTGTCCCTAACGCGAGCACCTGCTGCAGCCGCCTCGCTCCCTGCATTGCCCTCCAGCAGGGCCTGGCTGCATCTGCCAATATCTGTCATTATCTGAGGCACACTTGTCAAAGCCAGGCGTCCCTTCAAGCTCCCGCGTGTTCCAGCAAGGGACCCTTGTCAGTGTTGCTGGCACCTGCACACTGCTGCGCACCTGGTATTTAAATGGCACCGAAATGTGTTTTGATTGTTTCCTCTCTTTAATGAACCCACCTGAGGGACATTTAGCTCTTTCTGGAGTCGCCTGCTACCCAGGCGCTCGCACTGGCGCCGTTTGTGTGGAAATTTGGGGCTCGCTTGTGCTGTTAGGCTCATCCATCTGCCAGAAGTCTTATCACCAAATCTGCAGGGCTCCCTAAGGAGACTTTTGTACTGGTAATTTACGCTAATGATTTCTAAACATATTTAGTCAGTTTTATGAAGACCTCATTAGAATGTGACTGTTTATTAAAAATCTAAATGAGGTCCCGCAGTCATTTAGAAAAATCATTGCTGAATTCCATGAACGGTTCTTTGATAACAAATGATGAAGTGTTTTTTAACTTAAGTTTGGCCTAGGTTGACTTGAGAACTTTTGCCAAGAAAACACACAAAACAAATAAGCTGCCCTCGAGGCACACAGATAAGAAGTCTCTGTCCTCCTTTCGCTGGGGTTAACAACTTTCCACTCACAATGAAGTTTGCAAAAAGGAGATGACTACATTTAAAGGTATAAAACACATAAATTTTAGTGCAAGAGTCAGAATTCTGTCTCTATTGGCCAAATATTCTTGAAATATTTCAACGTTTGCACACGCTGAAAATATTTTTCCTCCTTAAAAATGTATGCTGGGACGACTGAGAATATAATCACTTGTGCCATCCAGCTGTCACCTCCGTCTTTGCTCTTGTTGGGCCGGTGCTGATCCTTAGCTGGCAGAATCAAACTTGGCATGTCACATCATTTGTCATTAGATTCTGTCAGGAGTCGCTTCCTCTCCCACTCCTTGTTTTTGCTTCAGGCAGGAGGAATTTAGTAGTATCTGATTAATAAATGGCAAAATGTGCTGATGAAATTCAGTGAAGGTAGCTGATACATAAAATGCACTGCTAGGATACATGATCGTCTATCGTGCTTTTGATACAACAAAGTATTTAACAAAAAAAAACGGAGATATAATTATAAAAAAAATAAAAGCTGATGCCACGAGCATAATAATTGCAGTAATTAGAGTTCTGCAATTATTATCAAAAATGAGAAAACAGCCGGTGCTAATAGTGTTAACGAGGACACAAAAGACCCTTTGCGTGAAAGCAGGCAAGTTTGGCTGTGGCAGAGTAGATGTGGCCCAAGCAGGGGCACGAAGGCCAGTGGGAAATAGCCCCGAGCTACGTGAGGTTCCTCTGGGAGAGGAACGTGCACGGGGCGAGTCCGGAGCAGCCTCAGGTGCAGCCACTTGGGCCTTGGGTGCTCTGCCTGTGCCACCTGGCTGCATGCCTCAGGGCCACACAGCATCACACAGACTGGCTGAGGTTGGAAGGGACCTCTGGAGATCATCTAGTGCAGCCCCCCTGCTCCAGCAGGGACACCCAGAGCACGTGGCACAGGGTGGCATCCAGGCGGGTTTGGAAGATCTCCAGAGAAAGAGACTCCACAACCTCTCCGGGCAGCCTGTTTCAGGGCTCTGTCACCCTCACCGGAAAGAAGTTCTTCCTCACATGGAGATGGACCTTCCTGGG